ACTGTCATGTTGCTACTGTGATGAATCGTCATGTAAATATCTGATATGCAGGGTGGTCTTAGGCGACCCCTGTGAAAGGGTCATTCAACCGCCAAAGGGGTCGTGACCCACAGGTTGAGAACCACTGCTTTAAGGGAATGCGTCTCGCCAATAACTTGTTCCGCTGGGGGTTATATTCGGGAATCAAATAACCTAATTGAAGAAATGAGGTCAGGACCAGTTCACTGAGCACCAGCAGAAGTTCAGGCCCTGGGACAGGAAGCCCAGGACTTCCCAGCCACGGGCCCAGGAATGGGCGCATCAGTGTCAAGGGTGATAGTGTGTAAACCTGTCCTTTAGGTTTGAGGTTAAGGTTACTTACCCTCTGGCCCAGGCCCATCTTAAGGCCCCTGAGGCCAGGCCCACCCCATCTGCAGGTGGCTTTGCCAGGTGGCTCTCTGGCGCCCCCTGGTGGCGGCCCCGCCCTGGCTGTGGAGGTGCAGGGCTGACCTCTGCCCAGGGGTAGATAGATGCACAACCCACTGCTCAGGTGGAGACTCCCTGGTCCCCGGGCTGCTGGCCGCAGGGGAGGGGGACGGGCTCCTCTCTGTGTGACCCCTGACCCCCTCCACCAGGCAGGGAGGCTCAGGTCACCCACTAAACGGTGAAAACAAAGGGAGCACAGCCAGCAGCCTCAGGGAAAGTAGGGGAGCCTGTGGGGGTGTGGGGTGTGGAAGAATGGAACGAGTTAGCTTGTGGAAAAACCAATGAGTCATGATCAATCTCATTAATTGTAATCCGGCCTCTACTCTATTTAAAAAATATATAATAATCTTATCTCTTCCTGATAAGCTCTCAACGATATATCTATAAAATTTGTTTAATAATAGAAAAAATACGTGAAAATCAATTTTCGTCCAGAAGATAAGTAACTGTTTACTATATGCATTTATATATGTATTTCTTTTTTCTTTATTTATTTAAATTTATTTATAACATACATAACATCCATCATATCTATCACAAATA